GCCATCGCTCTTAGGGTTGAGGCCATCGCTCTTACGGTGGAGGCCATCGCTCTTAATTACGGTGGAGGCCATCGCTAGTTAAACTTTAGACTCTAGACCTTTCCTTTTTGTGCTGATTCATGCTGAACTGAAGGTCTGAAGGGGTGCAACCCCGCCTAGTGCCATCTCGGCATTGTACCAGCGTTGAACTAAAGCCACCTGCCATTCAAATAGGCAAATGCAGCACATGTCAGTGTCTGCTACTAGTAGGGAACTCCTCTTTCAAACATCTGCAAGCATTGTCTTTTTAAGGTACAAGCAGGATTAACCTCAAGATTGAATACACAGTGTCTCATCCTGGACCGAGCAAATAGTCTGCGCAACAAGTCTGAGCCGATCATTTCAAAGGTGTTGAAAACCCAAATCTCTAACTGCATGTCATCTGCCTGCTTTGCAGCAGCTGCTTTCAGCCCCTGACATGCGGAGAAAGGTTGACCAAGCTCTTGTTTCGAGCCCAGTGCACTATCTGCACCAATAGCAGTCGTTGAAATCCAAGACTGGAATGCCCACCTCCTCTATGTGTTCCAAATTCAATTCATTAGAACTCTCTCTCTCTCTCTCTCCAAGCTAGATTCAATACATTTCAATTTCATTGACATTGACATTGTTTTGCTAAATATATTCAATAATGTCGAAAACTACAGGGTGCAAGCAGTTGGCAATAGCCCAGCAAAATTGCAAAAGCAAAGGTGTACGCTAGCGCAACATCTGCAAGTCCCTCGCACCTTATTGAAGGTGATAATAACTTTAACGTGCCAGGGCAGTCTCTTGATCATATTTGATGATGCTTCCATGACTGCGGCCTCTTCTAGGGCTAGGGTGAATTGCATGTCGTCTTCGTTCGGCAGGGTGTCAGAATGACGAAAGCCTGGCAATTGAACACCCAGCTACAATGAATTTAAAAGGTGCTTCTGACATCACGTGTAACACCACCACCACCACCACCACCACCACCACACACCCACCCACCCACCCACCC